CTCTTGCTACTGTTTGTAATTGACATACGTAATTTATGTTTAATTCATTTTAATTAATGGATTGTGTTCCGCCAGGATACATTTTAATATTCCCTGACAGTGCACGTTGGAGCTACATGTGTTACCTTTAGCCCAATGCTACGGGCATTCAGTCATCAACCTGAAGTGTGTTACCTTGAATTCTTAAAGAAAAGCCTCGCGGGTGAATGAGGAATCAAACAACAGTACGGGACTTGAAGTAGAAAGAGGCCTGATAAAAACAGGAAAACTATATCAAAGCATCCATTAGTAAACTCACACACAACTCGTGCAGCAGCATCCAATTCTTGCTTAGTGTGCTGAGTTCTTACCAAACATATGCATTTCCACCAAAAAAGTTATTTAAAACACTTTATTCTCGCCTGACCTCGACCATGTGTGTCCCAACAACCGTAACATCCTGCGATTTCTGCAGCTCACCACCCGAGCACTTAACAAACTTTAGTTTGCTGATTTATAGAGCCAGTATACTGTAGTTTACCGTTGAATAGGCCCCTAATTGCTGCCTGCCTGCCTTCATTGTGTTTTGTGTGTGTGTGTGTACGTGGCTATGAGTCAGATAAAATAAACCACATGGTGTGTGTGAGTGCATTAGGAAGCTGAACGTTTACTATCTCCTTGTGTGGTTTGGCAGCGGCTCTGTTGGCACGGGGGCGTGCAACGGGCATCCGTCTGGGCGCGAGGCAGGCCTGGCACGCCGCTCAGCCCCCCGCATCGCTGCATGAGGGTGGGATCAGAGCGGGAGTCTGCAGGCTCCAGACTAGGAGTCTGTGTGTGTGTGTGAGGTTATTAAATCGTAATCACATATGTTTAAATAGGTCCTCCATTGTTCTGCATGTCACTTGCGATGTGCTGACCTCTCTGCATGTTGCTTCTCCATTCACAAGTCTGTGTGTGTATTCCCTAATCATTCCTGCACCGAGTTAACACGAGGCCATTTATTTGACCTTTGTGGTCATTATAATTGCAATGTGCAATCCAGCCATGCTGAAAGTAACACAATAGCATGCGTACCACCGTGGCCCGATGCCATACCTCCCCTCTCCGGTAACGAGCCGAGCAGAGCCGAGCTGTGCTGGGCCTGGTTAGCACTGGGACTCTGAGGCAAAATTTGCGATTTTCGGCTGTACGAAGGGAATGGTATTAGAAAGCTTCACATTGATTTGACTACTGCCAACATTATGTTAATTGTTTTAAAAAAGAGGAGAGAATCTCCATCAGCATTCTTAAAACTAATGTAAACTATGTATTTGATCTAATTCTGCCACTTAGTTTTAAGAGCATCTCTTATCACGCACTTAATCATATTTCTTCTTCATGTGTGGTATTTTAGTCATCAACCCCCCTGATATAGCTGCTAAAAAACACTGTGTTTTGACTGGAGGGGTTGGACTGAATTCTAACTTTTAGTCTTCATCCCAGCCGGTTAGCTGGTTGCTGAGTTACTTTCTCAGTGAAAGACACAGTGTAATGTAATTGTTGTGAGTGCTTGGATAAGATACAGAAAGTATTTCCAAGGATGTTTTGTATTGATAATCCACTTGGATGAGGTTGAGGATGATAGAGACTCATCTCGGCTTACAAACTAAACCAAATCATTTTTTTGTTCATTGCAATAAAAGTGTTACGTTTAAAACAAATCAGTGGATGTTGAGACGTTCCTCCAGCAGCAGCAACTGGGGGCAGAACATTCCTGATCACTGCTGACTTAACTGAAATGACTTAAGGCAAACTAAAATGTGACCGTAGAGAGGTTGATTTATAAGCTCTAAGTACGGACTTGAATGTATCTGTAAACAAGAAAACACTTGTACACTTGATGGTATGGTGACACTAAAGTTTATTGTGATTATACACAGCAGAATTAAATATTTAGATGAAAAATGAGTGGTCGCACATTCACATTAAAAACAGCTTGAACAAAAATCAGAAAGATTTGAGCCTCTATGAATGTTGGAGAAGGACTCCTCAGAATCTGCAGCACAATCCACAGACCCCGGGGGTGCAGCAGCCACAGCAAAACTTGCACTTGATGCCGCGCTTCTCTCTGATGTTATACGGCATCTGTGTGACAGATAGAAGACATGAGCAATGTGTTCGTCTGCAGCATCATCACTCACTCTGTTCATTCGTGTTACATCAAGACCCTTTGTGGGGAAACACATCCAGCATCAGGTGAATCAGCTCGTTGTGTTCGTCCACATTCATTCAGTCAGCTCGGCTCACCTTCCAGGAGTCCACTGATGTCTCCTCCTGCTCAGCAAGTGGGAACTCAACACTCATTGGCTCCTCCACTTCCTGCACCTGTTGGTGAAGTGCGCACATTTACAACAGGAGACACTTTTTTGGATGTGGATGAAATACTTGTAGATGATAAGTGAGTAAAAGTCAAGTTGTTACCTCAGCTGTTGGGACAGCAGAGCTCTGCTGGATACAGATGAAGGTGAGCACGATGGCGACTGCAACTGCAACACTGAATGTCTTCATCTTAGCCGGTTGGACTGGTCTAAGTTTGCAAATTAAGTAGATTTCTTTAGATCTTTTGGTGACTCCTGTCAGCTCCTGTTGGTTCTCCTGTCTGATGGCTGGATGTGTAAAATCATTTGGTATTTATACTCACTTGGACCCGTGTTGCCTCATCGCTCACAGCAGTTGCCACACTCCAGATTCCCAGCATCCTTGTGTGATTTTGCCAATGGGAAATTCCTGAAGACATACAAACATACAATAAACGTTAAAACTCTATCACATTTGATTCAAGTTTTCTTATCATTTAAACAGCGTAGGATTACATCACCTGTCAGTATGAAAAAGAAAAGCCAGGTCATGAATATACATGTATATATGAATCAATAGTGGAAGCTTTTGTTTTTTTGCCACAGTGTTTCTGTCCAATAAAGTAAAGTAAAGTAAATCAACCTTTACCTACAGTAATTCTTGTCTTCTTGTCTTGTCTTGACAAAAGAAACATTGCAAGATCTGTGTGGAGCGACGTTCTCTCCTATTTTGCTAATGTTTGATGGCACTTTACAATGACCCAAACATTTAGTTAAACGTCAAATAAATCCCATTTGATTAAAGTTTTCTCATCAGTTAAACAGCATAGGATTGCTTCAACTGTCAGTATGAAAAAGAAAAGCGAGGTTATATATATATATGAATCAATAGTGGTAGAGATGAAATTACACAAAACAAAACTAACTAATGTTGCCTTTACTGTCATTTTTCACTCATCTTTTTGTCACTTGTTCGCTAGTGCACTTTATTTTTTTATATTTTTCAATTTTTTCAATTTTTAACTAACTTTATTCTCTTATTTTATACTAACCCATAGCCTTATTTTACTAACCCATAGCATTAGCATTTAATTTCATTTTATTTTATTACTTGTGCACTGCTGTCTTGTTGTCTATTGTTACACTGTCTACTGTCACGCACCAACCGCCAAGTCAAATTCCTTGTATGTTTGACATATTTTGGCAATAAATGTTTCCTGATTCCTGATTCCTGACTTTAAGTGAAATAAAGGCCAATTCAATTCTCAGTATAACTCAAGTATTTCAAAATCTCGACTCTTGTGCAAAAAGCAAAATCCCTGAGTTCCATTATTTACTGAAGGGCCTTCTGACCTCCATGCTCGCTTGTGTCAGGTGAGATCAGCATCAGTGTCAACAAATAGAGCAATGCACGGCTCTACATCTGTGTCTTGTAACATGAAGAAGAAACATCTCCTTGTCTTTTAACAATTAAACATCATTTTAGTATCTAGTTTTAGCAGCCTCTAGTTGTTGGTGTGTTTGCTCACTTGTTGAAAGGAAACTTTTCTTAAATCAGTCAAAATAACTAATGCTAAAAATAACAACAAGCTAGCTTTAAGCTCAATGCAATGAGGAGTAAGTCTACACAAAGAGCCTAAAGATACTATCTACACTGATATTTCATTTTCTGAAAGTGCACTCTGTGGCGTGTGGAATCTTTGGAACTTTTGCAATGTATACATTTTTATATATTAGAATCAATCGGTATTGGAGTTCATTTCAAAATGTCTTTGATCCCGTCAGCTTTAATATTAAAAACCCTGTTTAAATATCTAAGCCCATCTGTAAGTCATTGTCATCCACATGAAAAGTTCACTTTTCTCTTGTTCTTGTTGCCACCAACACACTACAAACACTTTCTGGACATCATCATGTTAGCAGGAGGATTGTCATGGTGCAAACTCCCATGTTTTTAGCTTTAATTAGTTTTTTACCTAATTGTTTAATGTCAACTTCTAAACACAACAGCAATATGTTGTCAATGTAAAAACACAAAACAAGATTGTTTCTATGATTTCTCCAATTGTAAAAAGAGCTTTGTGTTTTTCTTCCCTCCAAAATGAAACAAACAGTTAACAAAAGATGCAATGAATCCTCGGCCCATAAAAGACATCGACTTAGCAGAACTTTACTCAGTGTGTGTTCACTTGACATAATCAGAACAGAACCAATCGGCCCAAACTGATCCAACAAACTGAACCCAGGGAAACACCAGTAATTATAAGGGCTGATCAGACCATGTTTGAAACTAAGGGGTGACACTACCTTCTGCAGATCTACAAATGAGACAAAACCCCACTATTACTCGATCACGATGTTCATCAACAGTCCATCTGTAGTCTGGAGAAGTAAAAATGTATATTTTTTTGAGCTATCTGCAATCACTTACATGATTTGGATTCTGATTGGCCACTTCCTGATTTAAAGAGTTCTACTTAAGGGCTGCATCTTTTACTGCTGCTAAGGTCTGCTAAGACGTTCCACCAGCAGCAGCAACCGGGGGCAAAACCTTCCTCATCACTGCTGACTCAACTGAAATGACTTAAGGCAAACTAAAATGTGATCGTAGAGAGGTTGACTTAGTATAAGCTCTCAGTACGGACTTGAATGTATCTGTAAACAAGAAAACACTCGTACACACGATGGTATGGTGACACTAAAGTTTATTGTGATTATACACAGCAGAATTAAATATTTAGATGAAAAATGAGTGGTCGCACATTCACATTAAAAACAGCTTGAACAAAAATCAGAAAGATTTGAGCCTTTATGAATGTTGGAGAAGGACTCCTCAGAATCTGCAGCACAATCCACAGACCCCGGGGGTGCAGCAGCCACAGCAAAACTTGCACTTGATGCCGCGCTTCTCTCTGATGTTATACGGCATCTGTGTGACAGATAGAAGACATGAGCAATGTGTTCGTCTGCAGCATCATCACTCACTCTGTTCATTCGTGTTACATCAGGACCCTTTGTGGGGAAACACATCCAGCATCAGGTGAATCAGCTCGTTGTGTTCGTCCACATTCATTCAGTCAGCTCGGCTCACCTTCCAGGAGTCCACTGATGTCTCTTCCTGCTCAGCAAGTGGGAACTCAACACTCATTGGCTCCTCCACTTCCTGCACCTGTTGGTGAAGTGCGCACATTTACAACAGGAGACACTTTTTTGGATGTGGATGAAATACTTGTAGATGATAAGTGAGTAAAAGTCAAGTTGTTACCTCAGCTGTTGGGACAGCAGAGCTCTGCTGGATACAGATGAAGGTGAGCACGATGGCGACTGCAACTGCAACACTGAATGTCTTCATCTTAGCTGGTTGGACTGGTCTAAGTTTGCAAATTAAGTAGATTTCTTTAGATCTTTTGGTGACTCGTGTCAGCTCCTCTGAGTTCTCCTGTCTGATGGCTGGACGTGTAAAATCATTTGATATTTATACTCACTTGGACCCGTGTTGCCTCATCGCTCACAGCAGTTGCCACACTCCAGATTCCCAGCATCCTTGTGTGCTTTTGCCAATGGGAAATTCCTAAAGACTGGGAACTTCTAAGTGTTTTGTTTTTCTGCCACAGTGTTTCTGTCCAATGTTAAATCAACCTTTACCTACAGTAATTTGTGTCTTGCTTGCTTCGAAGTACAGCTCTATCGTTCATGATTATTATTATTATATATTTTTATAGCTCTATTCATGAAAATAAAATCAGATAACGTGCAATGGATTTGGATTCATTAAAGAAGATCTAAACGAGATATGAAACTTGTGACTTCTGCTGAATTTTCTGCTCCACTGAAGAGACACACAAATATTGTGAGATGTGTATGGAGCGACGTTCTCTTTTACTTTGCTAATGTTTGTCTGTCTTTGTTGACAGGACATGTACCACAGTCCTTCAAGGTAGCTGTAATTAAACCTCTTCTTAAGAAACCTACTCTTGCTCCAGAGGTGTTGGCTGAATACAGACCTATCTCAAATCTTTCCTTTCTCTTTAAGATCCTTGAGAAATCTGTCGTAAATCAATTATTTGACTTTCTACAAAAACAATGCTTTGTTTTAGGATTTCCAGTCAGGATTTCGAGTGCATTATAGGACAGAAACAGCACTGGTGAAAATTACGAATGATCTTATACTTGTATCGTACCATGGACTCGTCTCTTTTCTTGTCTTTCTGGACCTCAGTGCCGCATTTGACACCATTGATTATTGTATCCTGTTGCAGAGACTAGGACATTTGATTGGTATCAAAGGAACTGCACTCAGCTGGTTTAAATCCTACTTATCGTATCGATCCCAGTTTGTGATTGTAAATGGTGAATCCTCAAAGACCACCAATGTTGATCACAGAGTCCCACAAGGTTCTGTGCTTGGACCAATTTTTTTACCCTTTATATGCTTCCTTTGGGCGAACTTATCAGGAAACACCGCATAAACTTCCATTGTTATGCAGACGATACTCAACTGTATCTGTCGATCAAGCCAGAAGAGACAGACCAGCTAGTTAGACTTCAAGAATGTCTTGGAGACATCAAAACTTGGATGACCTGCAACTTCCTAATGCTAAACTCAGAAAAAACAGAAGTTATCTTGATAGGCCTAGAGCGCCTTTGAAGCCAGCTGTCACGTGATACACTTTCTATGGATGGAATTACTTTGGTACCCAGCAGCACCGTCACGAATCTTGGAGTTCTCTTAGACCAGGATATGTCATTTAACTGTCATATAAAGAAGACTTCAAGGACTGCCATTTTTCATCTACGCAATATATCGAAAATCAGGAAATTCCTGTCTCAAAGTGATGCAGAAAAATTAGTTCATGCGTTTGTTACTTCCAGACTGGACTACTGTAATTCTTTGTTATCAGGCTGCTCTTGTAAATCTCTTAAGCCTCTCCAGTTGATTCAGAATGCTGCAGCACGTGTATTAACAAGAACTAAGAAAAGGGATCATATCACTCCTGTATTAACTTCTCTGCACTGGCTCCCTGTTAAATCAAGAATTTAATTTAAGGTACTTCTCCTCACCTACAAGGCACTTGCTGGTGAGGCACCGTCTTATCTTAAAGAGCTTGTAACACCTTATTGCCCTACAAGGCAGCTGCGCTCCATAGATGCTGGGTTACTTGTTGTTCCTATGGTTTTAAAAAGTAGGCTGGGGGCCAGAGCCTTCAGTTATCAAGCTCCTCTTTTGTGGAACCAGGTTCCACTTTCAGTCTGGGGGGCAGATTCGGTCAGCTCTTTTAAGATAAAGCTTAAAACTCTTTGATATCGCTTATAGTTAGGGCTGGCTAAGTTTAGCCCTGACCAACCCGTAGTTAAGCTGCTATAGGCTTAGACTGCTGGGGGACTTCTTTCACACACCGAGCTCCCCTCTCACTCTCTCTTTCTATAATAATCCACCTTTTATTAATGCACATGACTAATTCAGCTTCTTTCCGGGAGTTTTGTTGAGCTTTCTCCCCTAGCAGGTCTCTGTAGATCGTGGTTTCTTCTGGACCCTGGTCCTGACACCTGCCGTATTCCTGCTGACACCTGCTGCTGCCATCATCATCATCATTATTATTTTAAATATTAATGATATTACTATTACTGTCATCATAAACCAACATTACCGTTTCCTAACGTCTTTTGCTTTCCCTCCCCACAGGTTTCTGTGGATGGTGGTTCTATCTCATGGTGGTTGTCCCTGCTGTGGTCCTGCCGTGCGCCTGGTAGTATTAGAATCATTTCTGTTATGGGAATTCAATGTATTATACATCTTTTACATTGTTCGTTCTGTACACATGACATCCGTTGTAAACTGTCCATCCTGTGAGAGGGATCCCTCCTCTGACGTTCTCCCTAAGGTCTTCTTCTCCTTTTTACCCATTGAAGAGTTTTTTATTTTTTGGGGAGTTTTTTCTGTGCCGATGTGTGTGTTTCGGGACAGAGGATGTTGCATGTGTACAAACTGTAAAGCCCTCTGAGGCAAATTTGTAATTTGCTATCTTGGGCTTTACAAAATAAAATGAATTGAATTGAAGCATCACCTTGTCTTTTAACAATAAAAACTGATTTTACTATCTAGTTTTAGCAGCCTGTAGTTGTTGGTCTGTATGCTCACTTGTTGATTTGTTCATTTCCAAATGTCTTTGATCCCGTCAGCTTTAATATTAAAAACCTTGTAAATCCCAGTTATCCACATGAAAAGTTAAATTTTCTCTTATTCTTGTTGCCACCAACACAATACAAACACTTTCTGGACATCATCATGTTAGCAGAAGGGTTTACATTGTGTAAACTGCCATGTTTTTAGCTTTAATTAGTTTTTTACTTAATCGTTTAATGTCAACTTCTAAACACAACCGCAATATTTTGTCAATGTAAAAACACAAAACATTGCTGTTTCTATTATTTCTCCAATTAGCTTTATGTTTTTGTTGTCCCCAAAATGAAATCACTGCTGACTCAACTGAAGGCAAACTAAAATGTGACCGTAGAGATGTTGACTTATAAGCTCTAACTACGGACTTGAATGTATCTGTAAACAAGAAAACACTCGTACACACGATGGTATGGTGACACTAAAGTTTATTGTGATTATACACAGCAGAATTAAATATTTAGATGAAAAATTAGTGGTCGCACATGCACATTAAAATCAGCTTGAACAAAAATCAGAAAGATTTGAGCCTCTATGAATGTTGGAGAAGGACTCCTCAGAATCTGCAGCACAATCCACAGACCCCGGGGGTGCAGCAGCCACAGCAAAACTTGCACTTGATGCCGCGCTTCTCTCTGATGTTATACGGCATCTGTGTGACAGATAGAAGACATGAGCAATGTGTTCGTCTCCAGCATCATCACTCTGTTCATTCGTGTTACATCAGGACCCTTTGTGGGGAAACACATCCAAAATCAGGTGAATGAGCTTGTTGTGTTCGTCCACATTCATTCAGTCAGCTCGTCTCACCATCCACGAGTCCACTGATGTCTCTTCCTGCTCAGCAAGTGGGAACTCAACACTCATTGGCTCCTCCACTTCCTGCACCTGTTGGTGAAGTGCGCACATTTACAACAGGAGACACTTTTTTGGATGTGGATGAAATACTTGTAGATGATAAGTGAGTAAAAGTCAAGTTGTTACCTCAGCTGTTGGGACAGCAGAGCTCTGCTGGATACAGATGAAGGTGAGCACGATGGCGACTGCAACTGCAACACTGAATGTCTTCATCTTAGCCGGTTGGACTGGTCTAAGTTTGCAAATTAAGTAGATTTCTTTAGATCTTTTGGTGACTCGTGTCAGCTCCTGTTAGTTCTCCTGTCTGATGGCTGGATGTGTAAAATCATTTGGTATTTATACTCACTTGGACCCGTGTTGCCTCATCGCTCACAGCAGTTGCCACACTGCAGATTCCCAGCACTCTTGTGTGATTTTGCCAATGGGAAGTTCCTGAAGACTGGGAGAGAGAGAGAGAGAGACCGAGAAGGAGACATGATGCAAAATAGAAATAATGTTTTTTTAAATTCCTGTTAAATGCGGAGATGTTCTTAGCTTCAATTTTAATATTTTAAGTGAATTTACTCTAAAATATGGTTACAAAATGTAATGAAACTGTTAAGTGAAAAAGTAAAGTAATATGTAATTAATTTATAACTGAAAAATAAATAACATTATGATTCAATCAATTGAAAACAAAAAAGGAACAAGTGGGGAATTGGAAATTCATGTACATCTTTATAATATATTTATTAAGTAATTAATAAATGTAAATGATCAATTTATACTTTCATACTGCCTCTGCATTTCTTCCACTTTCCTGAAAGGAGACTCACCTGAATCTTAAGATTTTCTGTGACTTAAGCTGCTGGCTCACATTTTTGTTTGGACATTGTGAGTTTGTTGACAAGCATCTGCTCCGGAGCTGTGTGCTTTCTTTTTGCCCGCTGGCGTTATTGAAGTAATTTCTCCACCGACATGGTTGGTGATGTTTTCTGCCCTCTGAAACTCGTTCATCAGCTCCTCTACGCTAAAATCTGAGTTTAGTTGTCTTATTTTAGCCTATCTCTGACAGGACATTGGACAGCATTGATTCTAGTATTTTTCTCGAAATCAGCTATTCATAAACATAAATGATGTTCCTATTTAGATTGAAACATTCCGTCTATAGTGGGGTTTGCTTCAGGGTATTACTAAATCATTCTCATACTACCTCAAGAAGGAAGACTGGTTTTCGAGTTCCAAGCTTTCTCCTGATGTTAATGTAATTTGATCTGTCTGATACCTCCTTCACTTGAAAGAACATCAATTAACTGTTGTTATGTACTTTGAGTTATTTCTGTCTGATCGCTGAATGGGCCTGGCAGTTAGCATCATTTGAAAATGTTCTGCTTTTGACCTCGGGCCTTTTTGTTAGCTCAACAACATGAAATGACCCATGAATGT